CTGCCTGCCCCACTGAGACATCCCCAATTAAAATCGATGGCTTTTCCTTTAGGAGTTAAATATTTAACGAGCCGGAAATGTCAGGGCTAATCAGCACGAGGGGCTGTCAGCCAAATGGTCCCAGGCCACCCCACGGGCTGCCCCATGCGGGTAAGGGTGGCTGGGCCAGGGGAGGCACCAAAGGTGATGGGGGGGCCTGGAGCCCCCAGGGGTGCTGGTCCTTTTCTTCCCAGCCTGGGTGCTGGGAGCCAGGCAAGCGGAGCCCCCAACCCTGGGCTTGCCCTAACCGCCTTGCTCTTGCTCCCCAGGCGTCCTGTTTGCCCGCCGGCCCCCGGCCCCCCCCGGCACCCGGTGGAGGGAGCACCCAGAGCCGGCCAAACCCTGTTCCTGCCCCAAACCCACTGTTCCCAGCCACCTCGCACAGCCACACTCCTGCCAGCACCTCACCATAGGGGAGATGCACCCCCCCCCCCTCCCCCGAAAGCAGCTGGGGATCCCCAGGGTCTATGGGGTTGAGCTGTGGGACCCAGCTGGGCCACCAAGGTGGGATGGGGGGACCTGAAGGTGCCTCTTGCTGCAATACTGAGCTGTGTCTGTGCAAGACTGTGAGCACCCACGTGGGCCCTTTTGTCCCTTACCCCTGCACGTGGGACCCTTTCCCCATGTGTCCCCTCCAACATGTTCACCTTCCTTCCCAGGCGCTGCCCCCAGGTGACACCACCCCCCTCTGTACAGCTCCTGCCTGCCCTGCTGCCTGGGGCACCCCTGGGCCCCGCATGCTGCATTCCCGACACACTGCAGCCCCTGTACCCACCTCAATGCACGCACTGCAGCCCCTATACACACCTCAATGTGTACACTGAATCCTCCACGTTGCCAAACTCAAAATGCACACGTCACCACTTACATACCTTCTCCCCTACACGCATCTCTATGCACACTGCGTTGTTATACACACTCTCGGTGCATATGCTGCGCCCCCTACACACTGCACCCCCCCATACACACCCCCAGTGCACACACTGCACCCCCTACACACACCCTTGGTGCCCACATTACATCACCTGTGCACAGTCTCCACACAAACACTGTAGTCCCTATACACTGCAGCCCCTATAAACTGTAGCCCCTATACACTTCATCCCCTATATCCTGCACCCCCTGCAGACCCCCCTACACAGCCCTCTTGCACTGTTTGGGCTTGCTTCCCCCACCTTGAGATACCCCCAGGGTCCTGGGTGTCCCAGGGCCACCCCAGGGTGGTGGCACCTCAGCTCCCCAGTCAGGGGGTCACCCTGGGGGGGCAGATACTGGGGAAACTGGTGGGACTGGTGGGGGTGAGATGTGGCAGGTATTTAGGAGGGGGTGGAGCTTATTGGGGTGGGACTTAATATCGGGATGGGGCTTGTGCACTGGGAGGAGCTTGTTGGTGGGGGTAGGGCAGGGAGGCCCAGCATTGTCACCCATCACCAAAGACCGCCCAGATGCCGATGTCCCCAGATGAGGGGCAGGGAGATGGAGGGCACTCCAAACTACCTCGTTGGGGCCGGGCGGGCACCTCCTCCACCCGCTTGCACCCCTGGGTGCCAAAGCAGGTGAGCGTGGAGCAACTCTCACCTCTACCTCAGTGCAGGGGGCCAGGGCTTGGTGCCTCTGGGCTCCCCCCCAGCACTCCCACCACAGCTATGTGACTCTGTGTATCTATTAAAGGAAATTAACTGCTGAACCAAACCAGTGTTGACGGTGGTATGCATGACATTGTGCCATCTGCAGAGCCCCGGTGCCCAGCCTGGGGACAGTTTGGGGGTGCAGGACACTTCCATAGCCCGTGACACTGTGGGGTAGCAGCTACAGTGCCTGAGGTTTCAGAGCCTGCCTCACCTTTGCCTCCAGTACAGGGTTGCCTTAGTTTCTTAGGGATCTGGGTTGCAAACAGATGCCCTACACCCACCAAAGCCCTCAAGCACGGGCTGGGCACCAACTCCAGCCATCATAGCCAGGCCATGGGGCTGCTTGGCCCCACAAGCTGCCCAGTGGCAGCTCACCCGTGGGTTGGGACCCCATTAGGCTGCCTGTGCCAGGCAAGGGACATGGCTGTGGGGTTGCACCCACGGAGGGCACGGGTGGCCCAGCCAGAGCCGGGAGACACGGATGGGAGCGCTCACGAGCGCACTTACCAGGGAATGTGCGCGGGAAAGCGTTGGGAACGCACAGGCGGCGCAAGTTGCCGCGCTTTACACTCGCAGATCACTTGTGCGCTCCCTCGTACAAACTCGGTGCCAGGCACGCTCACACGCAGTCGCGCTCGCACCTACGTGTGCAAGCGGACACACGGGCACAGGCACCTGGGTGCGCACACGGACACCCGTGTGTGCCAGGAGGCACGGGGCCAGGCACACCCCGGCACCCGTGAAGCCAGGCCGCTGGCACCTATGGGGCCAGAACCTTCTGATCCAAGGGTCGCCCCCGGGGGCACCCCCAAACTCGGAGCCAGCCCGGCGGCGCGGGCGCTGTCCAGGGTGCTGCAGCGGCGCGGCCCGACACGGGCGGGGGCACCTGGGGACACGGGGGTGACACGGGGGTGGAGATGTTGGGGACACGGGGGGCGGGGACAAAGGACCCCCGACAGAGGGCCGTAGGGCTGCTTCGGGCCGGGTTGGCCAGAGAGGCCGCGTAGGTGGGTATAAAAGTGAGGGGGTCCATGAATGTCTGTGTTTGTGGGTGTGTGGGTGTGTGTGTGTGTGTGCGTGAGTTTGTGCTCACCAGGCTGCAGTAGGGTTCCCAGCGTGTGCATATGTGCACCGGGTTGTCGTGAGTTTCCCTCTGTGTGTATGTGTGTGAGCGCATGTCTGTGCGTGTGTGTGCGTACGCCAGGCTGCAGCAGGGTTTCACTCTCTGTGTATGCGTTTCTGAGTATATCTGTGTGTGCCCCGGGCTGATAGATGGTCCCAGGGTGTTTGCTCTGGGGTAGAATTGCCAGGGTGCGAGACAGCTAAGCCCCCAGCACAGAACTCCTGCAGCCACAGCACAGCCCATCACAACTTGCCGAGTGGAGCCAGAGTGGGATCGATGCAGCCTTAATTGGGGTCTCATCTCCCCTGTCACTGCCACGCAGTGCTGGCCACAGCTCATTGAGCGCCAGGGCCCCGGGGAGCCGGGAGGGCACTCGCGGGCCCATGTCCCCACTCGTTACGCAGCTCAGGGGGTGATGTGTGTTGCCACGCTCCCTGGGGGGCTCGGGGACACAGCTGCTGTCACCTGAGTAACCAGCCCTGATCGATGCCCACTTCCCGCATCCCGCAGGGACTGTAATTGAGTGGGATGGAGGAAAAGGAGGATGGGAGGATGATTCAGCCTAGCAGGAGAAGCACTGGATCCAGCCTCAGCGCTTGGCTGGGGGCAGGTGACTGTGGCATCAGTGCACCACCGCAGGCTCCAGGGACAGGGATGGAGTTGAAGGTCTCCTCTCAGCCCCAGGGAGGAGGGGACGGATTCACTGTGCACTGTGCTGGGCTGTGTGCAGCCAGTGCTGTGGCTTCAGACCCGTCCCAAGGCTCGCAGGCTGGATGGGACTCTAGAAGGTGGGTGTCCTCCAAATACAAAGCCCTCCAGTGCTTGAGTCGTAGGACTGCATGGATTTCTCACTGTGGGGAAGTGGGTGATCTGTGACCCTCTAGCATGGGCATTTGGGTATTTGTGGGCATTGCCCATCACACTGAGCACAGGCCACAGTACAACCTGTACCCTCTAAACACAGACCAGCACTGTGTATGCAGCCCCCAGCCACTTCTGCTAATGAAACGATTTCTATTTGTCACCTTTGTGTAACAAAGTGCAGCTCTTCTCCTCTGAAGATCCCTTTTCCACAGGCCAGCTATTGATCCCTGGGAAAAAAGGCAAAGCACACGGGAGCCTCAGCCTGCTTCTCCTGCCCAAATGCTCTGCACAGCTTCTTCAGGGAGATTTGGGGGGCCAAAGAGGTTGTTGTGTCCCTGGGCCACCACAGAGCTCCCTTCTGCAGCCTGGCAGCCCTGGACAACTCCTTGTAGGAACAAATGTGGAAGGACAAAGCCTTTCCAGGCCACAGTGGGTTTTGCTCTTGGCAAAGGGCACCGAGAGGGTCTTCAAAGCCAGCCAGACAGCATTGCCAGACACACAAACAAAGCACTCACTATTAGCAGATGGTGTTGACCTAAGAGCCTAGCATGGGACCTTGACTGGGTGTTCCCTGGTGCCTGGGGCATAGTGGTGCACCACAAGCCCATGCTCACGGCCAGTGAGGGACAGAGACTGCCCTGCAGCCTGGGGCAGCTCTGGCACTGCTGAGGTTACCTGGGCATGATGGGGCTGCAGCAAGCTGAGCCCTGGGCAGCAAGGAACATCACAAGGTGCTTTGAAGCCTCCTGAACACCTCCCTCTGCAGTTTGGAAAGTCTCTGGACTTTTCTCCGTGGTGGATGCTGCTACTATGAATTCATCTCATCCCTTCGAGAGATCCCTGTAATCGTGAGTGCCAGCTGCAGGCAGCGGTGGGGCTGGAGTCGGCTGCTTCATTCATTAGTGCCTCACTTTCTAGTGGTTGATAGGAGAAAGGTGAACCCGGGAAGGCTGAGGCCTGGGGGAAAGCCCGTGGTGGCCTCCCGAATTTCAAAGGCCCTGCCTCCTCGCAAGCCCATAGATCGCTCTATCAATTTCTTTTAACACATCCCAGCGCCTCTTTCCGAGGCGGGCCACGCCGGAACGGAGCAGCCATCGACCGCCCCGGGGCGGCGGGAGGCCTGCGTGTTCCGCTCTGCAGCCCAAATCACCATCGACCGGCCGCAGACTCCCCTCCTCGCCTCTCTCAGGGGCTCAACATCTCTCTCCCCCCTCCCCTCCCCGATCCCCGGCAGTAGCTACCCCCTCCTCGGGCTCCATCACCCCCTCCCCGCCCCGTCTCCATGGCAACGGAGCCCCCTAGCAACAAGCCTCCTTGGCAACGGAGAGGGGCGGGGCGGAAGCGGCGGGCCGCGCCTTTCCGGCAGGGCGGCAAGATGGCGGCGGGGGCGGCGGAGCTGCGGCGGCTGGAGTGGCGGTTGGAGGAGCTGGAGCAGCGCGTTAACGGCGGCGATGGGCCCTGCGAGCCGCGCAAGGTGTCGGGGGGGCGGGGGGGCAGGGATACCGGCCTTGGGCGCCCTGGGGCCCGGCCCGGCCCGGCCTCCCCTCGGAGCCAGGCCTGGGTCTGGCGGGGTCTGACAGGCCCGTCCTTCTTCCTCTGTGCCTCCGCAGGTGGCGGAGGAGCTGATGAAAGCGCAGGTGGCGCTGAACAATATCGCCGGCAAGAGGGAGAGGATCAAAATCCTGTTTAAGAAAAGTGAGCGGGTTCAGGGAAGCGGGGGGGGTGGGGGGACTGGGAGAAATGGGGGGGCAGGGAAGTCAGGAGAGCTCGACACCCCTGCATGGCGTTTTGCTCCTCTAAACAAAAGATCCCTTGACACCCTCCCCCGTGCGAGCCCCCCCTTTTTTTTTTTTTTTTGTTTTGTTTTGGGCTCTAGTTTTTCTTATTTGTCAGAGAAATGAAGTGGGTGAGCTCTCACGACTATCCCGCTCGTCTGTCGGGGATGGGAAGCAGGCCGCTGCAACCTGTTCTTCGCCTGGTGTCCGCCTGCACCAGTGCAGTGATTTGCTTCGCCTGAAGTGCAGCCCTTGAAGGTGGCTGGCGCGTGGGCTCCTGAAATGTCTTCTTTCACCCAGGGGCTTCTTGAGCGTGCTAGAGCAGCTCTCCCCTCCGTGCATGGTGGGAGTGATAAGGATCACGGGCAGCCGCTGGTGGACAGATCTGGGGAGCTGCCTCTGGGCTGAGAGATATTGGAAGTGGACACTGGAGAGGTGCTTTGTCCTGCAAAGCTGTCTCTTGGTCAGGTTTTGCTGTCTGGTGTTGCAGAAGAAGCAGGCCGTGTAGGGTCATTGTGCTCCGAGGCTGCAGTGGCCATTTGGTATGAAAACGTAAACTCTGTATTTTAAGGATCAGGATGGAGGGCTATTGGCTCGTTTTGTTTCTAGGGCAGGAAGAAACAGATTTCACTCACCTTTAATATCATTATCCAAATAAAAAACAAGTGTTGTGGGTGTCTGCGACGAAGCAGTTATTTGGCTTGAGCCATTTTTCAGTGATGGGTCACAGTGCTCCAAAGTTACATATTTTCAAGTGCTGTAGAAATTCTTGATCTAAATGGGCAGTAGTTACAAAGTAACCTGATGCATAGTCTGGGGGGAAAATTGCTCTTGTAAATGCAATAATGTTTCTCCTACTTCTTGTCCCCAAACCTATTTTTCACTCTAGTTGAAGATGTGATAAAGTATCTCGACCCTCAGTACATTGATAGGATGGCTGTTCCAGATGCCATGAAGCTGCAGTTCATCTTGGCAGGTATGGCTTGAATTGAGAGAAGACACAGGAGTGTTTTTAGCACTGTAAAAGTTGTCTTTTACCTCAGCTGGATTGGGATAAATTTATTTTCTTTAGTTGTAAAGATCTGGCAAGGCACCCTCTTTAGAGCTGGCAGAGGGATAGTTTGTACAAGAATGTCTATCACCCTTAGTGCTCCCTTGTGCCTGTACATGCTGCAATTTTATTGGTTCTGATATTTTCAGTTTTGATCAGTTTAACTCTAAATTAATAAAAGGTTGAAAAGAAAAATGGGAGCTAGAATATTTTCATCACCCTACTTCCAGTATTCTTTAGGCTGTGACAAAAGTGGAAGACATTTGGATGTATTTTAAACAACTCCTAGCCTTGTCCTGTTTTGCCCCAGGGAATTTGGTTCAGCCCTGTGTTGGTATAGTCTGCGAATGAAACTTGGTGGAGATTGTCCTGCCTTAAATTAAGGTGAACCAAGATCCAAGGTTGAGCAGCACAAAAGTCTAAATAAAATCATAAACAAGCTCCTTTCTGTACAGTTAGATCATCTGGAAAAGTCACCTCATCAGTATTTGTGAAAAGCCAAAACTGTCTTAGATTTACTGATGTTGCTTCTTGTCCCTCCCCAACCAGAGGAGCAGGCTATTCCTTCCCGCGCAGCCCTTCTGGAGCAGGTGAAGAACCTTCAGCCCATCTTGGACAGTACCAGTATCCAAGGTACGCATGTTCTTCTGCAGCTTTGAGCTGCAAATGATACCCCCCAAGCTGTTGCCTACCCTGTTTTGGGGGGAGGGGGTGTTTTGGTTTGTTTTTTTTGGGTGGGGTGGTGTTTTGTTTTTTTTTTTTTTTGAGCCTTGGATTAGAGGAGGGGAGAGCTAAGCACACAACCCAGTGTGAGTGAAGTATGTGCAAACAGTGGTATGTCTGCTTCTCCCTCGTGCTGCTCTAATGTCCTGTGCACGGTCAAGGAAGTGACAGAGTTGGTCAGGAAGCTGGTTAGAGACAGAGCTTAGCAGAGAGGGTGGAGATTGGCAGGCTACCTGGATGAACATTATGGCAGGCAATTAGGCTCTATGTCCAGAACATCTCTGCTTCTGGCATAGGCAGAGGTGCCTTTTTAATGGCTTGCCATAATGTTCATCCAGGTATGTCTTTTTTAATTGCCTGCCATAACATTCATCCAGGTAGTTTACTCTGATGTAGTTCTTGACTAACCCGTGCTGTGGGCGTCCCTTAAGTTGTGCCGTCCAGAAAAAGTAGATAAACTTGGTATTTAATGTACAGGATAGCTAGGGCTTTTTTTTCAGTCATGTAAAAGATGTGTTTGTGGCGTGTGGCACTTGCATTCAGTGAGTGGAGTTCTGTGATGCGCTTGCGGAAAAGGAATGGTCTTTATTTTGGGAACTAATCCCATGTGCTGTGAAACAAACAAAATGGATTTCTCTTCTGTGCTTTCAGCGGTTCCTGACCATGCAGCCAAACTACAGCGACTCTGTCAAATCCACATACAGCAGCAGGTAGAGTGAATATTCTTGACAGTCTTGAATAGCAGGGAGGAGGAACCATTTGTCAGTGGATGTATTGACACCGCTGTATTTGCAACTGCCTGACTTCCTCGTTTATAGCAGTTTTTTTTTCAATCCCGGAACATTGTTACTGAAGTCTTAAAGAAGTGTAAGCACTTTGTGGGGAGAAGTCACCAGGATTTCTGACATTTGAGTCTGAGCTGGAAAAGTGCTTTGCCTACTATAACCCTACTCAAAACAGAGGTTTGAATGACAATAAGCGGCAGTGGGTTTAATCAGCTGGCATTCCCACTTTCACTGGAACACTGAGGTGAAGCTTTGTATTCCTCCAGTGTCCTAGTCTCTGGAAGGCTGTTGATGCTGTCACATTGTCCCTTCACCCTTCCCTTCCCTGTTTGAGTGCTCCTGAAGCCTGGGCAGTGCCTAATTCCCCCTTTCAGCATTTTGTGGTGATTTTCCATTCTGGGGCAAGCAAAGTATGGATGCTGAGGAGAGGCAGGCAGCAGTACAAGCCCAAAGGCTTTGGTGCTTCATCAGCATGGGTGTTTGTAACCTTTCTTTTGACTGTTGAAACCCTTCCAGCTGCAGTGAGTGGCCACAGCCAGGGTCTTAGCTCTAATCTCAGTACTGGCCTTGGATGAGTGTCCCCCCCATGCTGTCAGGGACTGGGAGGACAGTTTATTTATTGCTCACTCACTGTGGTTCCCCTCTTCACAGGAACAGTGTCACGATCTCACTGACAGTGTCAAGACACTCCTTGAAGTCTACAACAAAATGGTATCCTTTGAGCCTTGGGCCTGACACAGCTGAACTGCCTGCCTGTCTCTTGGGCCGCCTTCCCCCCATTAGATACTGTTGGATCCCCAGCCCTGGGTTTAATGTCCAGTGCCCTTTCTGACATGGTGACGCCCATGTCCCTGTCATACTCCTCTCGGGAGCAGAACCGAGGGCCAGAACTGCCTGTCTCTGCGGGGGGAAGGGCAGGATGCCAGCAGCTCACCGTGCGGCTCTCTGCGAAGGAGCAGCGCAGCCTGCGTGCTGGTGCAGAGCTCGCACTGGCCGGCAGGACATTGCCATCTCCCTCCAGGTGAGTGTCGGTCCCTGCGACCTCCCTGAGCCAAACAGCGGCTTAATCCTGGCTGTGTGGGATCCCAGTGCCGAGAGACATCTTAAAATCATGGTGGGTGGGGAAGCTTTGCTATTTTCTGTAGAAGGCCCCTTGAAAAGCAGTGCTGTGCAGTGTTTGGAAGTGCCTCCTGGACTCCCATCGGTGTTTGATGCTGCACGGCGGCTCAGCACCGGGATGGTTTGAGTCTGTGCAGGCTTTCTACAGCCTGGTGCCCCGGGTTTCTTCCTCTTCCAAGGAATTGGGAATGTAATGGAATTGTCAGAGCGCTCTGACCTTGGTTTCTTCCCTGCAGTTTCCACGTCTCTTTCCTTAGAAGTCATGTCCAGACCCTACTTCTCTCCAAGCAGTTTGTCCAGTGGAATGAAATACTGGTGCAGCTGGAAACAGCCAAGGAAGTGAAACCTGCAGCTGAATGATGGCAGAGCCAGGAGCCTCGGGCCTCTCTGGAGAGGCTGCAGCACAGCTTCCACCCTGCTGCCTCAGCGCCTTCCCACTTTGCGTGAGCATGCTGCAGGTGACATCAGAGGCTCTCGGGGGGGACACGCTGGCTCCGCAGCTGAGCCATGTCAGTCCCGAATCGAAGTCACACTACTCCTTAATATGCCACTGTTTGCAAATCTTGCTCTTCCCTGACAGGTTTTAGTTTGTAACATTTAAAAATCCCTTTCTGCTGTTACTGTGGACTGTAGTAAAATCCTGAAATGCCGTGTGGGTTGTGTCTTCCTCCCCGGGGGCAAAGACTTGTCACACAGACTGTGGTTTTCCCCGGGGCAAGGCCTCATGGCAGATTGTGGGCGGTTTCACTTGGCCTTGGCCCAAGGGCAGGTGAATCCCCTCCCGTCCCACCGCGTTCCCGGGGCTGCAGCACACGCTCTTCTGGCTCTTTGCGAAGAGGAGGCAGCAGCTCTTGCCTTCCTCCCACCTCTGCTCCCCGCACTGGCTGCTGCGAGCCAGAACCCCTGGCCGGCTCTTTCCCCTTCAGAGAGAGGTGCAACCTGTGCCTTGCCTTGGTCTGGCCATCGCCTGGAGTTTGTCCAGGCACTAGGATCTTCCTGAGTTGGGAGCTCATGCTCATCCCAAAACCTGCTGGGTGTGACACGGACCCGGGAGCCTGGAGGAGCTTTGGCTACCCCTGTGCTCGTCCCTCGGGGGGGCCTGGGAGGATGCTGGGCCCTGACGTTCCTCCTGGTGGGGTACGGGGGAGCGCTCTGAGGCAGCTCTGGGGGTGGGGTGTGGGTATGACGTGCGGAAATAGACTCCACAATCTGATAGATTGTAAAGTAGGTATGTTTATTCAGCGCTGAGGTACACAGGGGATAACTCCTCCTATTGTGTACCCAACGTGTGGTGCTGTTACCTAAGATTTATAGAGCAAATGATTACATATTCATAATATTTCGCAATACGCCTATACATATTCAACACCTATCCCCGCTTCGTATTATAATTAGCATTTCCATAATCTCCTCCCAGTTGAGTCTGCGCAGTGTCTTCTGGTGGTGGTCGTGGGGGTCTTTGGGGATGAAGTCAAGCTCCTCTTCCTCCTGTCCGCTCTGTGACCCCAGGTTTTGCGCAGACTCAGTTTCTTACTGGCTGTTGTCCAAACCGTGGGTCTAGTTCCAACCGGCTTGGTACTGATAAAGCCTAGAGAGCTCACCGTGTTTTATAAACTGTCTGCTCACTAAGCAGGACTGTTAACCGTTAACTAAACTATTTCCCTTGAACTATTTTCTTTTGTTATCCCCTTCTTGCTATTATCCCCTTCTTGCTATTCTCATGTTAACCCTTACATCCCCTGTTCCTATCTTGGCCCTGTATCAGGTATGGGTATGGAGAGGGTGGGCGTGCGCCCCAAAAACGAGCACGGCCCCGCCGCTTCCCGCCTCGTCCCGCCCGGGATCGTGCGGGGCCGTGGCGGGAGGGGCGTGACCGCCCCGCCGCTGTGACGCCACGGGTGGGCGGGGACCGGAGCGCGGCGCTCCCACTCCGCGCCTGCGCGCTCCCCGCGGCCGCCGCCATCTTGTAGCGAGGGGAACAGGGAGGCGGCCGCAGGTGAGAGCTGGAGCCGCGTTACCCACTTCCCCCCCCAAACACAACCCTCGGGCTCCCCACGGTCACTTACAGCGCGGCCCCGCCTCCTCCCGGGACCCTGCAGCGGCACCTGGGCTCCTCACGGACCCTCGTGGCTTCCCCCCGCCCGCCTCATCCCTCCCACAGCAGCGGCCTGGCCTCTCCTCAGGCCCCTTGTGAGAGCGGCCTGGCTTCCCTCCTCCTCCCCCCGCCCTGCGTTCCCTGTCGCAGCGCCATGGCCTTTCCCAGGGCCCTGTGTCCCCAGCCTCGTCTGCTTTTCCATCCCCCCCTGGTGTGCGTGGCGGGTCCCCCAGGCACCCACGGCGGCCTGCTGCCGTGCTGGGGGTGAGGGCGTCGTGGGGGGGGGGGGGGACGTGCTTGACCTGCCCCGTCTGCGCAAGGGATGGGGGACAAGGTGCTGGCTTTGGGTGAAACAGGGCTCACAAGCCTACAGGTAATAAAGCTTTTTTGGGCGCCTTGGGCTTTCTGTAGTGCTGTGGGGGGTGCCAGCCCTCCACAGATTAGGCGGGCCTCAGTCAGGATGCCAGAAGAAGGACCCTGCCTTGGCAGAGTGGGGAGCTATGAGACTGGACCATTCTGTCTTTTGTCTTTCACTTTCCCGTGGAGAACCCTTTTTTTTTGTTCATCACGTGCTTTTCTGTGGTTCTGCTTCTTGCTGCCCACATCTTCTGCTTGCAATGCCTGGCTTGCCATTTCCCCTGTGACCTGCAATGTTTCATCAAGTATCCAGTCCCAGGCCTTTCACCTAGGCTGACCAGCCGTTGGGCTCAGAGCCCCACAACTCTGTTTCTGTACATAACTGAGCTGCTGCAGGTGAGCTGTGCCTGGGTTCATCGCGTGCACATTCTGGTGTGGTTCACGGGTGCAGCTGTGGTCATTATCCCCCCGGGTTCTGTTCCCAATAACCTCAGCTCACCCATATGTTCCTTGCTTTCCCCTGAGTTACAGCCTGTATTTTCTACTTCATCCTGCCTAGGTCTGCAACACCAACCATGCGTTTTTCACCACCTGCCTGTTGGGGCCCAGCCTGCCCTCTGGCAGTGTGCTTGCTGTAGGTATGTGCTGAGGAAGACTGAGATACAAGTGAGCCTTCAGCACAAGTTGGGCGTTCTTGCTGATCTTTTGGGTATGCCTTTTCAGGATCCCCAACTCTGATAGCTCAGAGTGCCCTTTAGAGAAGAGGTTGTAGCTAAGTTCGGGGAGAGTCCCTTTGCGCAGCAATTAGAGTTTGTATTAATGGATCCGTTTTCCTTTTCAGCACTGCAGAATGGAGAACTATAAGAAGGCCAAAATTGTGGAGAAACCTTGTCCTCTTCCTTTCACTGACCTGCCCCCTGATATTATTGAAATGAAAGTGAAGGATGGGAGCAAAATCAGAAATCTGATGGGCTATGCCATCAGCAAGATGGAGCTGGACTCGGTGAGGCAGATCCTTTTCACTGGCTCTGGCAAGGCCGTCAGCAAGACCATTACCTGTGTGGAAATCATGAAACGGAGGCTCAAAGAGCTGCACCAGATCACCAAAGTGCTCTTCAAACAGATTGAAGAGATCTGGGAACCCATTGTGCCTGAGGCGGGCCTCGATGCCTTGACAGTGAAGAGAAATATTCCTGCCATATGTGTCCTACTCAGCAAAGACGCCCTCGACCCTCAGGAGCCGGGATACCAGGCTCCAGGCTCTTTTGATGCCTTCTGGATTGAGACCCTTAAATCGGAGTCCCAGGGCCAAATGAAGAGGAAGCAGGGTGGAGGCAGGGGAGTTGGCAGCACGGGAAAGCACCCTCGGTCGGCTGGAGGAGCGCCTGGGGAGCCCTGCGCCAAGTCCTGAGACGCCCACACCGTTTTTGGGTGTGGTTTGGGGGAGTTAAGGAAACAAGACAGCTGCTGTAGCTGGAAAGCTGCTGCTGAACACGGGGGCTTGCAGAGTTGTTAGGGGAGGGCAGGAGAGATTTAACTGTTTCAAAACGGACCTGACTGTAGCTGCCTGAGACTGTTTTGACAAGTTCCCTTTGTCAAAGGCTGCCAGGCTATACTCCTGTGTGGTTCAGGGAAGACAGGAACCGTCCCTGCTTGATCAAGTACCTGCTGGCGTCTGCTCAGCGAGCCCCGGCGGGCGGCTGCTGGCTGAGCAGGGTTTCAGCTGCTCGGGGCGGCGCGGCAGCCCGGGCAGCGGGCGTGCGTGGCGGGTGCCCGCTTGTGCGGCAGGTGGGGGTGGCTCTTGCTGCGGTACGGAGGGGAGGTGGCACCCGATCCTGCACCGCCAGAGCTCGTGCGAGCGGACAGCGGGGCACGGGGCTGGGTTGGATGTTTCTGTGCCTCAGAGTCCATCTGCTGGGCCCGTCAAGCGGTTTGAATGTAGGACTGCGGGGATATTGACTCCGTCTGCGGCTGTGTGTGCGTGGCGCCCTTTCTGCCTTCCTTTCACCTCGGTGGAGCCGGCCGTTACACCCCTCTCCGCGACAGTGTCAGGAGTCGACTCGAGTCTTAGCCCGTCTGAAATCCTGTAGCTGTGCGAGTGCCCGGGGGTGGTGGTAACAGTAAACTCCGAAAGACTCTGTTCTTTCCCCTTTTTGCTCCTTTATAATGTGAAGAGATGGGTATAAAATAAAATTTTCTCTTCGTGTAATGTGAAATTTGTCATGTCTTCCTCATCCCACTGGAGGTCACCCTGTAAGCGTTGGTGGGGCTGTGGCTGCTGGCTGAAACTCTGCTCTTTCAGCTCTCCTTGAGGAGGAGGGGACCTGCTGCTCCACGTTTGTTCTTCTCGTGGCTGTAAATGGACCCTGATGCAAGGGGGGAGCCTTTCTTCCTGCTTTTGCCGTTCACCTTTAATATCCAGGAAAGGTCAAGCTGGAGGTTTTTTCCTGGGAAGCTTTTTCCTCATTCATTCTTTTTTGTTGTTCTTTTAAACTGACTAGAACTGCAGTCTCAAAAAGACTTAGCCCAAACTCTGCCAAGTGAGGCAGAGGATGGAGCATCTTTGCTTGTGCAATAGTTTTCCTCCTGGAGCAGCGCTGGTGAGTAACGCTGGGCGGGAGGAAAGTGCTGTTCCCTGTGACAGGCTGAGCTCTTGCCAGAACAGCCACTGCGTGCACCGTGTCCCTAGTGCTGCCTGTCCTGCCCACTCTTCCCGGGTCGCTGCCTGTGTTGACGAGCTCCAGCTGGACCCAGTGCGCTGCTTTGTCGACGGGAAACAAGCATTTATAGAAGGGATTTTACCTAAATTGGAGCGGGAGAGAGAGGGTACCTCACCCATGCAACCCGACGCCTTCACAGTACAAGACTTTGCCGGGGGAAGCAGGGGTGTGCAGCATGAGGTTTCACACCAGCTGAGTGCCTGGCGCGAGCCGGGACGGTGCCGGGTTTACACACCCCGTCCCACTCCCCTTCTCCTGGTGGTCTCATCACACTCTGCCCCACCATTGTCCCCAGAGCTAACAAGGTGCTCGGGGAAATGCCCAGACCTCTGCCATGCCAGCACAGGTGAAACCTGTGGGCAGAGCTAAGCTGATTTATCTAGATTCTCTTCCCAGCTGCTGCTCCTTTACATCTAAGGAGGGAATGCCAAGGGAAGATGCTGAGTGTCTGATCAGACTGCTTCTGACACTGCGAGGAGCAATGTGTTTGTGTTTGTTTACTGTTAAAAACGCCCTCTTCGCAGAGAGCCAGATCCTCAAGCAGCCTTTGTAATCCTCCCCCATGGCAGTGGCACGTTTAACGCCTTCTCATCAAAGCTGCAAAGTGATTTTTATTTTTCTTTTGCCGTTTGAAAGCTACCCTTGGCTGACTGCAGCAGCTCTCCCTCCTAGGCTGCCCCAGAGCTTTCCTTCCCCGGGGCCGGAGAGGGAGCGTCCGGCGGGTCAGCCAGAGGAGGTCCCAGCTCTTGCAGATCTGCTCTTCGTCCGTTCTTCACCCACCTGCCTCTCCCCTGGTGTGACACACTGTGCGGGGCCGCCCGGCCGGAGAGGCCCCCCGCACCCCGAGGGGCTGCAGCAGATCCCTCCGCCCCGCTTTGGGGTGACACCCCACACCCAGCGCCTCTGGCTCCAGCCCATATTTCGAGGCTGGCACGGCTCAGCAGGGGTGCAGCACGCCTGTGCCCCGGGTCAGGCTGCCCCGTGCCTCAGTTTCCCCACTGCACAGGACAGGGAGAAGCCAGCTGTGCCTATGAGGCTGCTGCTGCCCAGATTTCCGGGGCACTGAATGCCCCCCCAAAATGGGTGTGTACCCCCCTTCATGGCCTGTGGTGGTACCTGTGCCCACCCCTGCCTGCCTGCGACCGAACCCCAGAGTGCAGGGGGCCAGGGTGCACGTGTGTGTGCGTGTGCACATGGATGTGTGTGTGCCCGTGTGCATGCGTGTGTGCATGTGTACATGGATGTGTGTGTGCCCGTGTGCATGCGTGTGCATGTGTGTGTGCGTGTGCACATGGATGTGTGTGTACATGTGTGTGCGTGTGCGTGTGCACATGGATGTGTGTGTGCCCGTGTGCATGCGTGTGTGCGCATGCACATGGATGTGTGTGTGCCTGTGTGCATGCGTGTGCATGCGTGTGTGCGTGTGCACATGGATGTGTGTGTACATGTGCGTGCGTGTGCACGCGTGCACATGGATGTGTGTGTGCCCGTGTGCATGCGTGTGTGCGCATGCACATGGATGTGTGTGTGCCCGTGTGCATGCGTGTGCATGCGTGTGTGCGTGTGCACATGGATGTGTGTGTACATGTGCGTGCGTGTGCACGCGTGTGCGCGCGTGCACATGGATGTGCGTGTGCACAGGTGTGCAGAGGGGCAGGGCAGGCAGCAGCAGGCAGAGGCCCCCGGGGCTGGGCAGGGCAGGACCAGGCAGGGGCAGGGCGGGAGCGTGATGAACAGAACAACAGCGCGGGCAGTACAGGCAGTGGGGACAGAGCAGCGCAGGCAGGGTTCTATAGGCAGCAGAGGCAGGGCTGTACGGGCAGGGTCTATAGGCAGGGTCCACAGGGTGTACAGGCAGGGTCCATAGGCTGTACGGGCAGGGCTGTATGGGCTGTCTGAGCAGGGTCTATAGGCAGGGCTCCATAGGGTGTGTGGGCAGGGCTCTATAGGATGTGCAGGCAGGGTCTACAGAAGGGCACTCTAGGCTGTATGGGCAGGGTCCATAGGCTGTACAGGCAGGGTCCGTAGGCAGGGTCTATAGACAGTGTCTATAGGCTGGGCAGGCAGGGTCCGTAGGCAGGGTCTATAGGCAGGGTTTATAGGCTGTACAGGTAGGGTCTATAGGCAGGGCCTATAGGCAGGATCTATAGGCAGGATCTATGGGCTGTACAGGCAGGGTCTATAGGCAGGGTCCATAGGCAAGGTCTATAGGAAGGGTCTCTAGGCAGGGTCTATAGGCTGTGCGTGCAGGGTCTATAGGCAGCGTCCATAGGCAGGGTCTATAGGCACGGTCTATAGGCTGTACAGGCAGGGTCCATAGGCAGGGTCTATAGGCAGGGTCCATAGGCAGGGTCCATAGGCAGGGTCTATAGGCAGGGTCTATAGGCTGTGCGGGCAGGGTCCATAGGCAGGGTCTCTAGGCAGGGTCTATAGGCAGGGTCCATAGGCAGGGTCTCTAGGCAGGGTCTCTAGGCAGGGTCCATAGGCAGGGTCCATAGGCAGGGTCTATAGGCAGGGTCCATAGGCAGGGTCTCTAGGCAGGGTTCATAGGCAGGGTCTATAGGCAGGGTCCATAGGCAGGGTCCATAGGCAGGGTCTATAGGCAGGGTCTATAGGCAGGGTCCATAGGCAGGGTCTCTAGGCAGGGTCTCTAGGCAGGGTCCATAGGCAGGGTCCATAGGCAGGGTCTCTAGGCGGGGTCCATAGGCAGGGTCCATAGGCAGGGTCTATAGGCAGGGTCTATAGGCAGGGTCTATAGGCAGGGTCTATAGGCTGTGCGGGCAGGGTCCATAGGCAGGGTCTCTAGGCAGGGTCCATAGGCAGGGTCTCTAGGCAGGGTCCATAGGCAGGGTCTATAGGCAGGGTCTATAGGCAGGGTCCATAGGCAGGGTCCATAGGCAGGGTCTATAGGCAGGGTCTCTAGGCAGGGTTCATAGGCAGGGTCTATAGGCAGGGTCCATAGGCAGGGTCCATAGGCAGGGTCTATAGGCAGGGTCTATAGGCAGGGTCCATAGGCAGGGTCTCTAGGCAGGGTCTCTAGGCAGGGTCCATAGGCAGGGTCCATAGGCAGGGTCCATAGGCAGGGTCCATAGGCAGGGTCTATGGGCTGTGCGGGCAGGGTCCGGGCCAGGCCGGGCCGGCAGAGCGCGCGCTGCCCGTCGGCGTTCCCCTCGCCGCTCACGTGGGCCCCGGCCGAGGGGGCGGGGCCTGATCCGGGAGCTCGCCCAATGGCGCACGACCGGCTGGGGGGGGCGGGGCACGGCCAGGTCCCGCCCCCCGGTGCCGGCGGGAGGGAGCGGGCAGCGCGCGGGGCTGCGGCACCCACCGGGCGGCCGGCGGCGGGACCGCGCCCGGGGTGCGCACCGGGACCCCCCCAAACCCTGCCAGCACCCCCCCCCACCCCCCCCGGCATCTCGCTCCGGGGCCCGGCGCCGGCCGCACCGCACCGGGACCCCGCGCTGGGACCCCGCTTCGCACCGGGCCCCGGCTCCGGCATCGCTGCCCGCCCGCCCGCCCGCCGGCGGGGTCCCGGCGCTTCCCGGGACGGAGTGGAGGCAGGTAGGTAACGCCTGGGCCCCGCGACGGGAGGGCGGATTCGGCGGGACCTGTTGCTGCCCGGTGCTCCGCCGCGGGCCGGGGGTGGGGGGGGGGGGTGGTTTCGCGGGTGTTACGCTTCTCGGCGGAGCGGGGGATTAGGGTCACCGGGGACCCCCGAAATTTTGTCTTTGCCCGGTAAAAGCACAAGCTGGGGCTGCCCTGGCCGTCCACCTGCTGCCTGCCCGGCCGCTTGCCTTGTTTTGGGGTGCGGGACTTCACAGTGGGGTGCAGGCAGCTGGAAAAGTGGGGACAGGAGCTGGGCCAGGGCCTCCCGCAGTCACCTGGGGATGCCCCGGAGGCTGAGGGTTTGGGCTGGGATGGGGCGTTGAGTCTCCAACTGGGGGACAGCCCCAGCTTGGTGGGCCTTGCAGGGAACGGGGGGACGGGAGGGACAGGCGGGGTGTGGGGTGCTGGAAAGGTCCCACAAACAGCCGCTGCCCTGGGAGCTGCTTCAGCCTTCAAACCCGCAGCAGAACCCCTTGGGTCCCGGGGTTGCTGCCCGCTGGCACCCCCCCAGCCCACCCCGACGGCTTGGGCAGCCTGTCCCCTCATGCTGGCGGTGACCGTGACTTTCCCCTTCCAGGTGCAGGACAGAGGAGAGGGGTCCCAATGTCCCCGCTGCCCTGCCAGAGGAGGGGAAGCCGAAAGCTGTGATCTCTCCTTCCCAGCAGCGCGGTGAAGCCCAGGACATGGCTGCGAGTCGCCAAACTGTGACGGGGTGACGCTGTCCTGCTGCCTGCCTGGCCCCATCCCCACCCCACTGCCAGCACCACCACTGCCCACTTTGTCCCCTGCCAATGCCGACGGGTGGAAGCTGCCCACCCGATCGCTGTGCTGGCATCCCAAGCGTGGGGCCGAGCTGCGGGGCCCGCTTTTTCCCGTGGGACAGTGGCAATGGGGGCTGCCCTCTCCACCGGAGCGGTCGTGGCTATTTCTTTTAACTGTGTCATTGCGTTGCTCATCCTCATCCTTTTCCTCATCCTCTGCAAGGCCTGCAGGACCCCCTCGTGCCCCAAAAAGAGCCCGGCTTCTGATGCGGATGAGGCAAGGAACGAAGAGAAGTACCTGCTGCAGCCCTGAGCTGCCTGGGGACTTGGGCGCCCAGCTGTGCCAAAGGAGTTGGCGCCAGCCTGGGTGCCTGTGCTGGGACCGGGGTGCTGGACGGGGCACAATGAGAGCAGAGGGGGTGCCGGGCTGCCCACAGGGGCTGTGACACAGGGCACAGCCCTCCGCCGGCGTGGTGTTGGTGTGTGGAGCCCCTGCGGAGGCCCACAGTGACCATGGGGATGGAGCAACAGCAGCCAGGGACATGCTACGGGGACAATTCCTCGTGTCCCAGTGGCCAGAAAGCACAGCCGGAGCCCTGCCCTCGAGTGTACCTTGTGTTTGGGGACAGCCCGTGGGCTCCTCCCTGGCACTTGTGGCCCAGGCCAGTGGCCACTGCATCGCAGACCTGAGCGGGGCCAGATGGGGGGCTCAGAGGGGATGCAGCAGGGCTGGCATGGGCATCTGTTCCCGAGGGGTCTGACTGCCCCATATGGTGGGATGTGCCCCGGGGGAGGGACCCCAGCAGCCCTGGCACCACTGGCAGAGTCGGGTGTTACCAGTCCGGGTGTCTTTGGGGATGGCCCTGGGGTGCTTTGTGCCCCCAGCCTTAAATGGGCATTTGGCACCCGTCTGCCCCGACAGCCAATTTAAATGAGCCACAAGAGGGTCTGCATGGTCTGTCCGTTCATCCCCGGTCTGTCTGTCAATCCCCTCCAGCATTAGCACCAACACTGCTAGGCAAACTTACCTCCTCCTCACCGGGCGTGTGTCCCTGCCTGCTCTCCTGCCTGCTCTCCTGCCTGTTCCCAGCCAAGGCTAGTTGGTGGGGTTTGATCTGCCTGCAGGCAGCAGATGTGCCCCCGTTGGCATCCCCGTCCTTGCTGACAGCAGTCAGGGATGGCTTTTTGCTGGGGAGCTGGGAGACAGGGGGAGATGAGGGTGCCCGGACAAACAGCATTTCCAGCCCTATTCCTCCCCAGGAACCACAGTGGCTCTGAGGGGAGGAAGGCTGGTCATCTGGCTTGTCCCCAAGCCTGGCAGCTGCATTCCCCCACCTTGCCTGCAGGTGCTGTGGGTTTTGGACCTCTCTGCCCTGCCCATCCTACAGCTGAGCAATAGCCAAGGCCCCCGCTGGCACAGCCGCTGCAGTAAGGGGATAGAGGGGGTGGGCTGTGCTGGGAGGGAACTTGCACAGGGTCCCTGCGCAGGCTTGGCCAGGCCCGGCAGAGCCTGCGGTTCCTCCCCATGTCAGGTGTAGCTAACGCATCCCTTTGCAGCGTTGTTTTTACTAGACTAATAAACTGATCATAGGACCCAGGCAGCGTCTCTGAGCTCTGCCCAGTGCCTGAAAAATTTGGTGGAGGCGGCACGTCCTGCCTTTCCCATGGGGCTGAGGAGTGGCTGCCCCAGGGCTGGTGGCTGACATCCCTGCAGGACTGTGGGTGTTCTTCTGGGTGATGGTGACAAGGAAGGGCTCACGTTTGCATCCCTTGGTGGCTTTTAAACGCTGAGTGAGAAACCTGGCTGGGTATTTGATGCCCACAGCTGGGGGCACGTGGATGTCAGCAGGAAGAACCCCTGCCCGCCCCCCCCTCCCCCATCCCCAGTGCTAGAGGCACTGGAGAGTTTCCAAGCTGTGGCCTTAAGTTACAGGGATGCTTGTGGGGGACGTGGGGCAGCTGAGCGGATGCAGGACACCTGCCACCACCCCTGCCTGGCGGAGCAAGCACCTTTGGTCCCCAGTCCTGGCAGCTGTGTGCAAGGCTTCAGTGGTGACAGCCCGTCCCCGCTCATCAGCATGCGGCAAGGCCACCGCAGCTCCTGCTGCCACCGCAGCCCTGTAGCAGCTAATCCCTCTGCTGCAAAGCGCCGGAGCAGTGGGAAGGTTCTGCAAACCCAGCGCCCAGCCATTCCCACAGCCACCAGCTGGGCAGAGGTGGCTGAGCCCCCCACCACAGCCGAACCCCCCATGGGGATTGGGGAGCTGTGCGCATCCCGAAGCTGGTGGCTGGCAGCTGCTGTGATAGGCTGGCTGGAGTGATGGCACATCTCTCTCCCACAGCCATGGGGGGGGGGGTCAGGTCAGCTCCCCAGCCACTCTCTACCTGAGGCTGGCACCCCAAAATCCAGGGGGCTGTGTGTGCCCGACCCCATGAACAGTTGTGGGGCTGCAGCTCAGTGCTCAGCCTCTTTGGCCACCACTTACGGTGGGACTGGCTGCCACCAAGCTGCAGCCCTGAGGTTTCCTGAGGGCTGGTGGGACCATCCCTCACCTGCCCTCCACCGGGCTCTCGCCCAGTGCAAGCCCCACCAAGGGTGGGGAAGAGCCCACGGACTGTGCACGGTGAGGGCTGCCTGACCCCAGAGATGACAACATGCCACGTCTCTCCCAGCACCTCTGTTTATTTGTCCGGGCGCAGAGGTGAAGTGTTCCCACTATGCAAAGAGTGGGAGGCGCGGGGCCCGTGGCTTGCATGCCAAACAGCTGCCGATCAAAGCTGGGCTTGTTGGGCCGACAGCCCCCAGCAGAGCTGTTGTTCCCCCACTCACTTCCCTGCCTTGCTCTCTGGCTCTCTCACCAGGTTAAGCAGCTTGTCCAGCTTTGCAATTTCCACCTCGGGGCCCTTCTTGACCTCCTGGCCTTTCTTCTCCTGCAAAGAGAGCAAGTGGGTAGAGCTGTGAGCAGGGAGGACCGCAGGGATGAGGAGGGGTCTGGCACAGGGAGGGCTGCCAGGCTGCTGTGTCCCAGCCCTCAGCCTTCACTGGGGGCTGATCCACAGGGGGATGCACCTGCCTGTCCCTGTATTTGAAGCCCAAGGTGCCATGAAATGTATAAAAGCCCTCATGGGTTGGGGAAGGGTGGGCAGGAAGGGTTTGGGGCACACTCCGAGCATCTGATGGGACAGCCCTGTGCCTCACTGCACACTGCTGTGTCAACCCTGACGCGTGCCTCAGCGTGGGCAGGGAGGACAAGCCACAGTTCCCCAGCACCTACCCCAACCCTCCCAAGTGGCTCCCTCCCTGGGTGCTAGAGCAAACCACCAGCATATTGGCAGAAATCACAGAGCAAGAGGGAAATAAGCCTCCCCAGTTCAGTCTTCACACGCTTACCAGATCCCTGTTAAGGGTACCGGTGCCACCCAATGCTTCAGGCAGAGTGTGTCCCCTGTGCTGTGGGCTGCAACATAAGTGCATTGCTCCCATCAGAGGTTGGGGGGCTTTGGGAAAGGGATAACCAGGTTTGGGCTCTCCAGGTACATATCATGGCAGACACAGCTGCAGCAGAGGAATTTTTCAGCCCGCATTCAGCCCACCAAGACCTCCTGCAGCTGAGCATCTACCCTGCGGGGTTCCTCCAAAACAGCATCCACCCAGTCGCCGCATCCTGTCGCTCAGCACTGCCTTCTGCTTTCTTCTTTCCCAGCCTGCTGGCTCTTGCCTTGCCTCTGGATTTTGGAGGCGGGGGGCTATCCCTGCTCCAGGAAGCTCTTCTGTGCCCACTGTCACTCTGGGTACCCCAGAAAGCAGATGCCGAGAACAGGAGAGCGGGAGGGCTGGTATCCAGTCTGGCAGGTGGGCTTGGGAGAGGTGGCAGTGAGTCCTCAACCCTGTGGGCACATCACCAACTGGGCTTGAAGGCACCCTGCAGAAAGCTGCTGTGCTGGGTCCTCCTGGCACCCCCAAAGCACGGCCTCTCCGCGGGGATGTTCTCAGAAGGCCAAGGGAGTATCACACAGCATTTGAGCAAGGAGGTTGCCTGCTTCCTTCTCTCCCCGCTTAGAAAAGATCAATCCTCCTCCCTCTGAATCAGCTCCTCTAACGGCCCCAGGTGCAGCAATTACAAACATGCACCTTCAGCGATGGAAGGAAACACCAGGGAACAACAAAGAGAAAAGTTGTAGGGCTGCAGGGATCTCCCCGCATTTCTTTAGCACAGTTGGGCATCTCTGGAGGCTATGACCACTGAGAAAGGAGACCCCAAGGTAATCCCAGGCTTCTCCCTCACCCCAGCCCAACACAGCTCTGACACAGCAGAGGTTTCCTCAGCTGCTGGAGGGCACAGCTGGGGTGAAAGCAGCCCTGGGAGGGGGAACAGTGACATTTGGAAACCCCTCTGCTCCTGAGAAGGCAGCCCCAAGCCTCACCTGAGCGCTAGGATGAGCCAAGGTTGTTTTCATTTACTGAGTCCACTGATTGCATGCCAGGACGGTGCTGGTTTGTATTAATGTCACTGAGCAACGCCCTTTGTGGCTCTGGTCTGGGCACTGGGAACAATGTTTGTACTAACAGCCCACGTCACAGCCTAGCATCTCTCTGAGCGAGAGCGTTGGGATAAACACAGCTGCTTGGGGTATTTCAGGACCTAGCTATTTCTGCAGAAAAGCTGCTTTGCTGTCTGACAGCATTCAAAACACTCCCTTTGGCACCCCGTGTTGCACACAGCACCATGTACAGGTCCTTGGGACAGGCTAAAGAGGCAACTGCTTTGCTCAGCTGGGAAAAGCAGATGCTGGAGCCATCTCCCATCAACCTACCCCTATCCCAAGCCCTTTGATCTCCCCACTGGTAGGGTCAGGGAAGGTCCCTGAGTGGTGCTCTCCAGGTAGTAACACCAGGTCCATGGGGACCACGTCTGAACCTTGCTGAAGTCACCAGCCACAAGCAAGTCTCATCTCCTAGTCACCAAGATGTCCCTATAACCTTAACTTTCACACTGGATTAGCTCCTTTGGTGCCTCTGAGCAAGCTGCAGCAAAGCCACAGGCAAGCCAGTAATGAGCCGTAACCGAACCAGAGCCCTAATTTAACGCCACATAACCACGCAAGCAGGATAACACAAGGAAGGAAAATCATAATGTCCTTTTGGGGGCACTGGAATGGAAAGTTTCCCTTTATTCCTCCATCTGTTTTTCCCAGGGTGCCTGTGCATGTGAGCTGGCCGCTGCAGGCTGTCTGACAGCACCACCACAGCACCACGGCATCTGCTTGGATACACGCGGCAGCTTCCTACAAATCCAGGGGCTTTGCCTGCATCAGGCCTCCGAGGAGCAGTCCTTCTCGGAGCAGAGATGTTGCAATTCCCCGGAGCACACGTGCTACAGGGAAGAAACACCTCTGCACATGGCTGCCAGCGGGCTCTCCCTCCCAATGGATGCCATGGCCAGGTGTGGAGAGGGCACTCGTGGGGCTCTGCTGCTCAGCGTGTAGCTAAGCCTGTCCTCTGCTGGCATCTCTGCTTACACCATGGGGCTCATTGGGAACCAAGAAGGAGCTGGGGCAGAGCATCCCCCCCACCACGGAGCTGACAGATGCGGAGCTGAGGATTCTGAAGGGCTGTCTGTCCCTGAGCAGCTCATCAAACAAGTACAGGAGCCTCTCACAGCAGTGTTTGCATTGATTTTACCATTAACAGGTCCCAGCAGGAGAGAAAAATGCTCTTGGCTGAAATGGTGGTGAGGGACATGTCAAGGAAGCTCATGGCAGGGTCAGAAAAGGTGCTGCTGTGTGGTGATGGACCCTGCCCCGCTGATGGATCATGACTGCAGGGAGGTGAAATGGGGAGGAGACCCCCTACATAACCCCATGCTGCTGTGTCCATGGCCAAGTTCCCCACTGCCCTCACGCTGTCTTTGCCTTATGCCTGGGTTCTGCTTTGGCTCTCCAGGCAGGGAAACTGAGGCATGGGGCTCCTGGTCCTATAGGCAGTAGAGGCACAGCTGCTGCAGGACCCCTGATGGTCTTCTCAGCCCCAAAGGTGAGTACTGACACTGGAAGTGAAGCAAGGGGTGGAAGATGACTGAGGTGGAGCACCAGGGGCAAGGGCAGAGTGAGGACAAGGACAGGGACGAGGACAAGGACTGGCTGTTTGAAGACCCCACATCCATCTCCCTAGGAGCCCCAGCCCCAGCTGTCCCCATGCTGGCACATACCGAACTCTACATCCACCATTTGGGAGTCATTTAAACTAGATTCCCTGCATCTTGGCTAATGCCTTCATTCCCTAGCTGAACAGTAAACTGCCGAGTTAATAAAACTCTCCCATAAAAGCCATGATGCTGGCACTTTTCAGCATTTTTTTTCCCCCCACATTGGTGGAATAATCATAAAACATCTGCTGTAAAGTTTCGATTAAACAAAGCAAAATATGTTTATGTTTTAAAGTAGTGAGGAAGTCAACTGTGCTGGCACGAACATAGGCAGAAAAGTCCCCATAACTTCCCTGGGAGCAGAGGGGACTCTTCCCCTGCTGAGTCTCGGCCAAGTGGCACAGGCCTGGCTCTGCCCTGCTGTCATCATGAGACTGATAGTCGCAGTCTCT